CCGGAGTTTCCGACCTGTGCATTTAAACTTGACGTAATGCTACTCATTCAACTGTTGTCATATATTGTGTAAGTTTTATGTATTTTGATGTAGTATGTTTGGGGAAAGGTTGAAAAGAATTTCATGTATAGAAATTAAAAATGCACTGTTATTTGTGTACAATTACAAAAATAAGAAATGTGTTTTGTCACATGCATTCAGTACATATTTACTACTTATTATTTTGTATTCTACCGTCCACGTAGTGTTATTGTTACTAAATATTGACAATATTTATGCTACACATTTGTAACCGTGTACGAAGGATTGTCATACATAGTGTTATCTTTGTAAGAAACTTTATAAAAGAAAATCACATATAATCACATCACATTGTATCATAGTATGCTTTACAATATTAAAAGAAATGCGAGGCGTGTTTTTAAAGTAAGTACCGATATTTAAAAAAAACAGAACATCATTTCCAAATTCTTTACTATCATTCATCACCTTACACTACTTCTCCACATAGTCACCGCCGTTATTGAGGCACTTGTCGTAACAAGAAACCAGTTTTTGTATGCCTTTGTCGAAGAATGTTGCCGCCTGTGATGAAAGCCAAGTCTGCACTTCTTGTTTCACAGCATCATCATCGTTGAAATGTTTTCCACCAAGGAATTTCTTCAGATGAAGGAACAGATGAAAATCGCTGGGAGCCAAGTCCAGACTGTAGGGAGGGTGGTCGAATTGTTTCCAACCAAATGATGTGATCAGATCTTGAGTCAAACGGTCTTGAGATACCGTCAGCATCCGATGTGTACAAGATGCGGACAGAAACGGACAGGATTTTCTATTGCAAAAGCTTATGGATACTGATATGCCGATAGATTTCCATTAGATGAAGATATACGCTGTTACATTTTCTGTCTGCATTTGCAGATACAACAGTGCTGCTTATAGAAACGGCTGGGAATTGAATCTTCTCATGAAGCTTGCAGTTAGATCGGACTGCATTCCGTTAGAAGCTGTTAGATGTCATATACAAGATCTATCTGTTTCTGACTGTTTCTAATGGAAATTTTTACTAGGGAAATGCACAGGCCGGGCATTTCGGTGTCCAAATGCTCAGGTCAGGCATTTCGGTGTCCAAATGCACAGGCCGTGCATTTCGGTGTCCAAATGCACAGGCCGTGCATTTC